CAGTCGCTTCGCGCAATATAAGGTTTGCTAGCTGTGGGACGAGTGGGAAACTTACTTTGTGGACGCGCCTCGTATTTAGATCAATAAGTGGATCGAGTAAAAAAAGCTGTAGGAAAATGCACCGTGATGGATAACTTTATTTTTTGTAATTTACTAAATATTGTGACTAAATCAAGGTGGGTGAGATAAATTGTTCGTGTACAATTTATGTGCAACAAATCACGTGCATAATATTTGTCGGAAAAGTCTATTATGGGGGACTTCGACGTACATGGGAGAATTATATGAAAATAGATGTTGGATAAACAAGGCGTGTAGTTAGTTACAAAGTTGATTCAGTCCTTTAAGGAAAGGGCCCATAATGGTGATGAACCTTTGGGGTTCATAGCAGAAGATAATTTGCTAACAAAGACTCTGTTACATTAAGTTCCTTTCTTAACTAAGTAGAAATAATTCAGAACGTACTCATAAGTAACTAATACGTCGTAGACAGAAAGACAGGCAGGATATTACATTTATCACTTCACATATAAGACTTGGACAGTCATAACAGATTTCAAAAATCTATCAGTTACTTTTGTTTCATGAAAACAACGGAATATCCAATATTCTAAGTTTTTCTCAGACGTTTGCAGTGCTAATAGGCTAGCATTCCGTTACAGGAAGTGAGATATTAATTAAGTTTAAACTACCAGCATTTATGCATGCGATATGTAATCTCAGTCAAATTCTTATAATTGTTAGAAAGTAAGATATATTAATTTGCCTGACATCAGCATTACTGAGTCAAGGAACACTGCACTGAAATAAGTGGTGACCACTTCTGTATTTCTGATTAAGAAGTCGTAATAATCATAATCGAATTATCCCTGAAGCTAGAAAGCTTCAAGCACGCGAGGACGACAGGAAGTAGGAATATAAATGCAAGAGATCTGTAGCAGGAGGGGTAATGGGTTACAAGAAGTTCCCTGTTGTGAAAATTACGTTGCCAAGACTACATAACCCATGGCACAAGTAATCTACATGAGAAAAGTAGCTAGAAGTATGATCCATTTTCGTACAAAGAAATTGACTAACAAAAAAGCATCGTTTGCCAACACCCAAATGATGCTGCTAGGTTTTTGTGTCTTCCAGAGACGCATTTGTCTGCGACGAGAGTAGATGATCATCTTGGAGTTACGGTCACCACGTAAGGAACCATTCTTCAGACGGAAGACTGGGTTAGAAACTCTATTGTAGGTTTAAACCATACAAAGGAAAGGGAGGAGTATTTTCAGGACTGTTCCTTCTTTGTACGAACACATCTTCCCTTCTGAGTGGTTTTCGTTGAAAGATTCGAGCTTCAAGTATAAAAAGGACCCAGTGTGTGGATTAGTGTGGAACAAAAAAGCATACTGGTTTTGCGTTTCAACGCTAGATGGCAGCAGTGAGCTCCACGGCTTGCCCGTGATTTTAATTTCGATTGCAGATTAAGGGCAGTGGCGTGTGGGTGGAGGACGCCACATGTATCAACCGGCCACTGCAGCCGTTGCCCAGCTCCTACTGCCTCCCCTCCCCCCTACAGCAGAACATTCTTAATTTTTTCGTAAATGTGACAACAGTTTTATGCAGGAATTGACCGATCCAAGCAGGTTCTCGATACATACGAATGAATTAACCTCGCCGTTCCGTGTGAGATCTGTTTCAGTTCATCGTTCTCTCTAACTCCATAGAGCAGAGTCTGTCTTGAGAAGCTAACAGTCTCTTAGCTAGTGAGTAAATTCCCTAAAGATCATTACAGTGTTCATAAGAGCTCGCCACTGGCCGCCTGTTCTGTGTGAGGGCAACCCAGTCCATATCGTCACAGTCTGTCTGTGACCCAATTTAATATTATTCTACCATGTACGTCAAAGTCTTTCAAGTGATCTCTTTCTTTCAAATATTAAAACTATAAGTTACACTCATGTTTTGTGCACGCTACATTCTCCGTCCATTTCATATTTCTTCATTCCATTAACCGAATGAGCTCTGGTTAATAATGCATACGTGGTTTTCTCCAGGTGTATTTTACTTTCTGAATTTTAGGTTCAAATATTTTCCTGGACATCCTTTCGGGGTCACAGATGAAGTTTCACGTCCGTACAACCTTGTTTATGCTATTTCTTTTATCAAACTTATCGCTGTCTTGAATATATAAACACTGGATAAAGTCCTGCATCCTTTCTATCCAGGTACACAGAAGACACGAAATTCGAAGCCAAGGTATTCTACAAACGTAACTAAATTATCTCGATTTTACAGTGAACATTCTGTATCACCTTGTGCTTTCGTATCTAAAAATGAACCTCATTATGGTATAAATGTTCGTTTAGGAATGAATTTAGCCAAACTAGCTACTGCTGGTTGGTAGAGACTGAAGGATTATCATCTGAAGAAATCCAATTATCGACTTTAAAAACACTCGGATAACCGTAAAGCCTGAAATTTTTTTTTTAAAAAAAATGAAGGATCCCATAAGGATAATATGAAACTTGTTCTGAACCTCGACTAAAGAGTTATCGAGGTGGTAGGTACTTCAGTAGATTGCGAAAATGATGTATTGCTGTCCCAGCTTCAAGTTTCTAACCGCACGAGGACGCCGTAAAACAGCATTCTTGTTTGCTGTTCGTATCTTTCGTAATTTAAAGGACCTTGTGTCAGATATTACTTAGCTTGATTGACTAATACGTTACTGTGTCAACTGCAGATACTCTCTGGGTTTGCGACGTGAGAGGATGATGAAGTCTGTGAACAGGGAAAGGCGAATAAGGTCGCGGTCATTTCCAAGAACTTTACCGAAAAGTCAGAGATGCTTACTGTCTCCATCATCAAGGAAATGATAGAATAATCTCATCTGGAATGTCAGTATGTACCAGACTTTACTCAGCATCATCCCGACGGACAACCACATCCTTATCGTCGCCGTGAGAAACTTAAAATCAAGAGCTTGTGTAATTTTTTTGAGATCAGTATGAACTGCGTTGTCTTTGTGTGAGTAAGTGTCCTTTTGTGATTGCAGCTGGAGAGCTATCAGGTATCAGAACGGCAGCCCCTGGCAGTGTTTAAGGGGCACCGCGCCTTGCTACAGCGTGCTGTGGGGTTGTACTCCCGCATATTACGCAACCATGGATTCAGTGTTCGTGTAGAAGATACCAGTATGCCAAATATTTCTAAAACAGGTAACGTCCCTTTTAATATTTGTCAGTTACGGTAGACGTTCGCAATATCGCGATTATAATCGTGTTCCCGAAGCGGTTTGACTGATGGTGGACACCTTCATGAGTTCTGCCCAAAGTTTGGTGTTTACATTACGAAACTTTTTAATTTCTTAAGATTACATTTGATGTGGATTTTTCGTATGAAACTTATGACTTAAGATATGAGTTTATTCCGAAGTGGTATTATCAGGGCTGTAAAATTATTATTTTAGCTGCAACTCGATAGATGTGCATCTAATAGATGAATTTTGAGAAATATTAAATCTAAAACTTCTTGACGATGGTGAAGAGTCAATTGAATAAAAATTTTCTTGGATATTATCCATCGTCTAGTAAATATAAAACGTAAAAAACGACGTTTCGGAGATGGGACTCTATCTCTGTCTTCAGGTTCGTACACAGTTGGGCCCACTAGATAGAGCTAATCCCTATCTCCGGATAGAGTCCCATCTCCGAAACGTCGTTTTTTTACGTTTTATATTTACTAGACGATGGATAATATCCAAGAAAATTTTTATTCAATTGAGAAATATTAAAGTTATCGACCTGCACGTGGTAAAATATGCTATATTGAGATATATAATTTTCTGTACAGATGGTCTTTTTTTTTCATACCTAGTTGCACATTAAGAATTAGAAAATAATATAACATTACAGCTGGAAACAGGAACCAGTGAGTGAGAAAAACTTTATATTTCATTTTAAAATAAACCATTTAGAAGTATTCTGAATTCTAAGATGATTTTACATCGTATCTATTAGTGTTCGGTAGTTCGTCTGTGCAGACATACTCGATATGAAATCTTGGTCTGCTATCATCACCCCTTTGAGGTGCGTTCAGAAGACGTTGGAAGAATTAAGTGCACGTTTTATGTTACGATATTTCATGTCCCAGCAGCTAAAAATACATGAATTCAGTTTAAGTACCGGCAAGTCTAATGCTTTTGGCCACCGACTGATAAGGGTGTGAAGAGCAGTCCCGATTCGTGACCCCAGAAACACCCCGACGCACCCACAACCGCTCTGAGTTTTCTATAAACAGATTCCCGATAACAGCATCATCGTCCAAACTTGAGACGTGTATCACAAGGCATGTTCTTGTTCGAAGAACACTGTTTCTATGCGTTTTCCACATTTTCCCTGACCGTCGCTTCTCTGCAGCTGAACATATTCTAAAATGTACCCGTAACACAAACATTTTAACGCGTTTGTTAGAATGTGATCTTTACAAATGGCCCCAGTGACAGAAGAATTGTCTGAACGTGATGAACTTCGCGTGGAAGGGATGTCTGGTGCGATTACGTCATAGCGAAAGATTCCCCCAATATGATTGTGGACGACTACGGATTTGCAGACTTCAGATTAACCACGCGGATGACTATCCAGGCACTTCAACACGTATCCGCGCATACCGGTCTTCATGTATGAAGTTCCCGTTATTGTTAGTCAATGATTTAATGTAGTTATTTGATTAATTTAGGTTGAAGTTGCCTGAGTGACTAACTTATAATAGTGGAAACCTGGGTTCAATCTATGAAGAATTTCAAGTGAAAATTGGCAATCGGGTAGATTGTTATCCGGTTTTTAGAGTGTTCCCTGTCGCTTTTAATTCCGCCATCTAATGTCACTGTCACCGTCAGTATTTCGTACCGAACACCCTTTTACGGCCTCAATGTGAAGGACCATGTCTCCTCCACCGTTATCGTCATCAACTCGTAGACTGTGGTTACACCACGAGTATTATCATGTCTCTGAAGACACGAGAATCAGATGACACGCGGATAGCCTATAGCGCGAATATTGAAGCCATCCTACTACGCCCTCTGTAGATAAGTAAACAGTGACTTCTGCCTCTCTCCAGAGCACCTCACCAACTGGACACTGTTGCTGTGTTTCGCCTTCTCTGACGGGGAACCGGAGTGCTTCTCCAGAACGGGATTCCGTACCATGAGACCTCAACAACGAGTTAACAGAATCGTGGGAGTCCAAAGAGTTCTCTGGAGGCGTTCGGGTCTGTGTAGAACTGCGAGTCAGCTGTCCTCCTTGCCGGCATTAATGTATCGCCCCATTGCACCTACCTGCTTCGCTCTGCCAGATCAGTATGAAGAGTTTCTCAACACTGCAGACGGTCCAGGGTTCAACAACTCGTGGCTACTGAAGCCGTCAGTGCCAGAAGGGAAGCTGGAGCATTTGTCAACGATGCAGTTCTTCAACAGAGTGAGGCTCAAGGAGTATGTATCGATTTATTTTAGCAAAGACTGGATGGATTTTCTGTCCAATAGCCCTTTGCAACATTTTTTGTTGTTGTTGTGATAATCAAATTTAAATATAATTTATTACGTTACCCCATTTTTTTTGGTCAATTCAGGTTCTCCGAGAACCAGGAACTTATAGTACAACAGTTTCTCCCAAATCAGCTCCATGTCTTGGGAGTTCCAGTAAGCGTCCAGCTTTTCGTTTTAGTAAGTTCCGTAGCTCCGCTGAGGGCCTACCTTTACGGCGAAGGGTTCGTTCACTTCCGGCAAGGAGAAGAGAACAACTTCAGAAAGGTAAAATTTGATTTATCTCTTTTCTGTATCTCAATCTTGTTAAAGCCATTTCGTCGAGAGAACCGAGTCCATTGTATGAAAGTGAAGCTTGAACTCTATCAAGAGTAAAGTAATCTAGGATGTTACGCCGTGCAGTGTTACAGAAACTGGCCGACGTTTCGAAGTCATTTACTGCTTCCATCATCAGATCGATCGAAAACAAAACATCGTATTTTAAAAGTGCCGCAACCATTAGGCACACTTTACAAGTTTTATGAATACGAATTATAAGGGATGGGAAATAAATACGGGAGAATGGAGGACAGGAGGTAAATGAAGATATGAAAGAAAATATTCACTCGAATTTCCGCGATTAAATGCGAGATCGCTAATGAAATCCGGGCGTCGCTTGTGTATCATTTTGGAATCTTGTTAGCGAAATTGTACCCGCATTTCCAAAGGAATCTCAACACGTAGCAGTTTCTATCCCGATGTACACAATGCAATTGCGCGATTAATCATTCCATTTATTTAGCGTCGATCGGATATTATATAAAACCTTTTAATACAAGTCTATTGTACCGTTGTCATTTCCCTTACATGTGGACGCATTAATAATTTGTTTCCTTTGTTGACGATGGCTTGGGACATGTGGGTACCTTGCTCTTCGGCTAATGTAATACGTCGTGGGGGCGTAGCACCAAATCGGACAGCATGAAGAATCGATGAAGCATTGCTAGACTGATAGAATGTACTAATGCCCCCATGATACGTCTACATTACAATAGAAATAATCTACATAGCAATTCTTATACCATTTAGTCTAATCGACAGGAAGGCGGGTTCTTAAAATATTGGAGAAATGATACGGAGGCTTAGAAAGGTTTTACAGGCTTGGTCTGTTATTACGGCTAATTGTAATATAAATCCGCGTATTAATAATGCATAATGCAGTAACGATGCGATATCGAAATTGTAATATTCTTCGAGGGTGTTTGAAGGACGACCGACGAAAGAATTGCTGTGGTAAAACCTGTCTTTAGATAGAGACGTAGATCGTGATGATATTGTTATAAACTTTGTAAATTAAATCTTTTTACAAAGTTTTTTGTAGACGTTTAAACACTCTGGTCTAAGACTTCCTCACCAGATATTACAGTGGATGCACTGCGTTTCGTGGCCCTGTATGTGGTTACCAGTGTTTCGAAGGAACATTAGTAACCACGTATAAGACCATAAACTGTCACAATCGGTATCTTTAACACCGTGAGAATCTCAGGTATCGGATCTGCTGAGTGTTCAGTTTAGTACGCGATCCTAACTAGAAGCAAATGACTTGTTACCTGTTATCGAGGACTTACCAGCTGTAAAGCAGATACTGAAAACGTCCACCACCTCGAAAACAAGCATCCGCCCTTTATAGAGAGATTCGTGCAACATCGCGAAGAGTTTTAATACGTTGCTGTCAAATATGTTCACTATCTGCACCTCTAAATTCGCGAGTTGTTAAAATAAGATTTTTCTTGGCATGTCAGATAGAACGGAATCTGGCAGGGTAAGGTCTGGAGATCGCGGTGGCCAGAGGCCACGCCCGGCAATGCGCTCGCCAAAGAACTCTTTGAGCAGCGCAGTTTTGTGGCCTCCGTCAAGTCACGTTGAACCCATGTCCGACGTCGGACGTTTCACTTCCTGTGCCTGGAAATTTTTGTCAATGCTAAATGCTTCACTATCACCGGCAAAAGATTTTGATGCGAAGTAATTTTCGAGAATTAAGACACGTTCTGTGAGATTTTTGGTTTCTACTCCTGAGGACGGTGCTGAAACCGTGTAGACTCGTCAGTAGATTCAACGTACTACATCAATCTTCAGGGCAAAGTATCGCCTAGCTACGAGTCTGCAGGATGTCAGAACCGAATATGTTTATGTTATGCGTGGTGGTATTTCGGGTTGTAACGTTTTGGGTAAACATCTCAGCTTCCATTCTCAAGGCTGGCGTTTTATCTCCAACAGCGTGGAACAAACCTTTACGAACTCAGAATTGTTTTGTATATATTTGCAACTGTCATACGTAACATCGAAGATAATTTTCGTGTCGACCCAAATACAGCCTGTGGCTACGATTTCGACAACAGTCGACTGTGTTCGTTGTCATTCCGTCTGCTCTGCATTTCAGATCCCGGGGAAATGGTGGTTAGTGTCACAGCTGTGGCGCCATGTGGCGGCCACCCAAGGCAGCAGCACAGTCAAGATGGCTCTCGATAATACAGACATGCTTTTGGTCCACCTGCTGCTGGGGGCAGAGGCGTTCTTGCTGGTGGAAATCGCGAGCCTCCCTACCGCCAAGGAAACGGACTCTCGTTCCGGGGAACACGTGCATTACAGGTTCAGATTCACATGACCACAAATTACATGTTTATGTTGGATGCGGGGAAGAATTTGTCGCCGGTGAATAACTCGTGAAAGTACAATGATACAAATATTTACCACGTGCTTTAAAAATCAGTAACCCTATTTTACCCATAGAATTCTCTGAACAAACAACGATAAAGTCTGTAAATAACATTAACATATCGATATTTTTAAAGGAGGCGTGTGTGTTTTCTTTGAGGTAGGAACTGTTTTCCGTCATGTAGCACAAATAGTGACGCTTAATGTAATTCCCACCTTTCGTAATGCTTCGTTTGTATTAGGACCCTGAAAATTTTTATTCTTTAATCAGCTAATGTTTTTTCGTTGTACTGGCGTCTCGATTTAATGATCCCTGGCTCTGACGTAGTAAGCCCCAGTTAGAACGGAATAAATGTAGCGCTGTCATAAGCTATTCGTTTGAAATTCAGACGTTGAAGCGTGCATTCGCGTACATGTCAGCGTGTCTAGCCGTGAAGTCTAACTGCGAACACGTGACTGTCGGCCAGTGATTTTCGAAGGCGGACTGGGCTGGTTTGAGGGATCATCAAATCGCGACGCGGTAGTAGTGTGAAGACCCGGTTCAGTCCCTGATCGAATTGTGTTATAATCCGCAGGTGCGAGAACTGTTTCCAGTTATTGGCTGTGGAAATCATGTACAATTCGTCATTTTACCCTGTGGTGTTGGGGGTGAGTGGACAACCTAGTTTAGGGGTGGATTCCCTCAACAACTCAGCCCCGTCTGCCCCTCTAACTGCCGAATCGACGAGCAGTCGGACGCGGGACATTGTCCGGCAGTCACTGTTCTCGGACACGATGAAACTCCTCTTCGCCACAGACTCCGTCCATCGCAGTGTGTTCGACTCCCTTCAGGTGGCTGCTGAGGCGTTGAACACTGGTGGGACATGTTTACTGAGTCACTTGAGAATTTCTGTAGAGACACTCCAGAGGTCTGGAGCCTTTTGACTGACCTCCAGAGCGCTTGTTAACCGCACTTAATCCGACAGCCTGAGTTATTACGTAGGGTGACAACCCATTCCTGATATTTATTATGTTTCTCAAGAAATAAATTGCATTAACATCGGAAAAACATAGCATTTGAAAGCTGGTGAGAAGTTTTAGCAGTGACGGAAATGGTTCGTCAGAAAAAGAAACTTCCTTGTTTTACGTAAGGGCACGGGGAAGTTTATTCCTAAACTTGACTGGCAAATTAAGTAAGAATGAGACGCGACGGTGGACGCTCGTCGTACTTGTGAAAGAAATACGTCCTTACACTGTTGAAAGACAATTGAACGGGATGACGCGACGCGGGATTGTGTATAGCCACATCGATATTGTGTGTTTATTAATCTAATCGAATTATACAGAATTGCAAATGTCAATAAATATTTTAAGTCGAGTTCTGAGAGATTTCGATCGCAGTTTACAACAGACTAATGCAGTTATGGTCTTGATACAGTATTTTGAGTCAATTTCATCTACCGGACTGACTTAGGTGTAGTAATCATGACTCGTCTCCGGGAATTACGTGTTCGAATCCCGACAGCGTTATTTTGATAGTTTTGTTGATTTAACAACGCCTTTTCAGAATCTAGGCACCTTATGTCGAGGGTATAATGTTACGTGAATTCCGAATTGGAATGGACTTGAACAAGAAGTCATCTTTTCCGACATTTGACTGGGCAGACTACGGAAATTACAAAAAATACGAGTGTAATCTATCATCGGGCCAAAATTTGAACCCAGAACTTAAGGAACACAAAGAATAATAATAACAATCAACTGCAACAACCGGATTTAAGATGTGTTTTAAGTCGTGGCAGATTTGCCGATACGTAACAAAATTCCAGATGTTCTTTACTCCACGTCACGGGCGATTACGTCAGGACAGGAAAGTTATTAAAGGCGATGTTTAACCACGACCATTGTTATAACATTGTGGCCCTAGATCACTGTTGTAATACAATGCGATGAAAGACATAAACGTGTTCTTCGCTCGCGAAAATTATTTAGAAATTAAAACTGCTTTATATTATAAGATACTCTTTGGCCTCTGCAGAATAAGCTACCAGGACTTTGCACGAAACAAAGTTCCAGTTCGTCAGAGGTGAAACAGAAATTAGTGTCAGCTCCTAAACGTCGATCCCTTGAGTGGCTGTGGACAGGGAATACAATCACAAACTAAAGATGAAGACGTCTTCTGGGTTGTTGCGCCGTGTATTCTGGTAGAAGTTTACCGACGTTTCAGAGGATCCCGCTTATAATGGAGGCAACGAGGACCTCTGAAACGTCGGTAAACATCTACCAGACTACACGGCGCAACAACCCAGAAGACGGTCATCTTCAGATTCGCCGACGTCGAAACCTCAAACCCTGGGCGATGACGAACCAGTAACGCGTGTTCCAGGGGTGACAGGACTACAGTGCCTTATTTCCCACGACTTGTGTCTCACCGAAGATGACCTGGCGTCGCTTCTCGCGTCGCGACGAGAAATGCTCAATACAGGAAACTTCAGGCGTCTGTACCCCACTCCATCAGGAAGCCGATATTCAGGATACCTGCAGGAACTACAGGCCCTCATGCTCCAGGACACGAACAACGTCTTCCAGCGCGTCAATTCCCTCTTCAGGTGACCAAGTTTTTTCGATAATTGCACCAGATGACAGAATCTTCTATTTTGCACGTGTCCGTCGATGAGTACGAATTCAGAAGCTTATTTGTCCCGACCCCTGTCACGTGACCGCATAAATTTATCAAGTTTTCTAGGTAATATTTCTACGTTTATAGATTACAGACGTAGGCAAAGATTCTAATCTGTGTGGTAGTAAGCATTCACGAAATTAATTTCCTTCTTAATATATTCATTAATTCATTAACGAAAAAATTGTAAAAAATGTAATTGAGTTTTAAATTTAATATAATTTTATACCTGATGATGGTTTAATAAAACCGAAACATGTTGTAACTGTTCCAACTGTAAATCGATTATTCGATATGGAACAAAGAATGATATTTTAATTATCTTATTTTAAATACATTGTGATTTGACGGAATACCAAATAATTCAATTTTAATTCAATAAATCACAATATGACGCAACTACACTATTTTATAATTTTAATTTGTTTCTGCCCGCGATTGAATATTTGAACTTTGTCACAGTTTCAAACGATTTATTAGACGATTTACATTATTTTTTTCTGCGTTTACGTTATATTCCAATCGAGCTTCTGTGTTTCTCTGTAAATATAGTTCGCCCGGAAAATTAATGTCGTCGTCGGTAATAATCAGAAGTAGATGGTGGAACTGAGGAGAGATTTCGAAAGTGGGAACGAAATTAATGAGAGAAATCCAATTAATAAATAACGTAATTGTTAGGCTCTTCCAATATTTCAGGGAGACTCTGAGGCACAGCACCTCGGATCTGCACGGAATACAGACGCGCCTGGAACATATACACAGCGCACGACACGGGAGTGCTGACGTCTCGGAAACATTTCCGAACCCAGAAACAGAGCCCGAGGCAGAGGAGGAGTATTCTTACGCAAGTGGCTCACGGTTGCAGCCCACGTGAGTTCATGAGTAAGCTATAGCCTCCCCTCCCCGCCCCCCACAAAAAAAAGAAGTCGCGCTACGCCACTGGATGATCCTGCCTTCTGCAGGTATGATTTTTGGCTCACAGCTAAGGCCCACATCGTAGTTGCAAGACATATAACTTCTCTGTTTAATTATCATATCAACGTGTTTTATCGTGTTTCAGCTTCAACCTTCAAAGTGCGCAGTCCCAGAACGTGGTTGAGAAACGAGATAACTGCTCGCAAGGTAACTTAAGGGTCCGTTTTGTTTTGTCATAAAATAAATGACGTCATTTCCTTTCTGGCTACCTTCTTTTGTTTTCTTTTCTTACTCGTCTGTTCATTAATGCCTTAATAAATTTTCTTGGGATCATACCAAAAACTATCCAGAGTGCTTCTGAATTTGTTTTCAGACGAAGCCCTTTCGTCCTACTTGAAGTCTCTCGATCTGCAGCCCTCAGTTGCCCTGGATCCTCCATTCACCCCTCTATGGACGGAGTATCGTGCCCACGTGTCATATGACGTCACTATGGTACGAGTGATTGCCACTCCTCTGCACTGTAACGTGCAAACGCGATTTGAGCACCGCCTGGGACCTACTCAGTAAGTATAGTAGCGAGCTACCGAGACTGGCTACAGTTATTTTAAATGGCGGTAGGTGTCAGGGTAATAGCTGTCCCCTATTGTAGTTACAATAAATGGTTAATAGATGTAGTGCGATACAGCTGATGTAAATACCGCAACAAATTTGCTGTTAAAAGAAGATTCCGATGGTTGGTTGAAGTGACTCATTAAATTATCAGATTTCCTGCTTCGAATGATTAATGAGTAATGGAATTGGAAGGATAAGGTAGGAAGAGAATGAACTATTTTAGAATTTTTCGGAAAGGACTTATGAAACCACGAGCTATGACCTTGTGAGTAATTGGCAGGAGCGCCAGCCAATCAGCTTCAGTGTTCGGTGGTCAGTTGCGGGAGAAGCGTTTGTTGTGAGAAAATAGGATTGCAATCACAGGCCCTTATCTTCAGACAGAATATTTAACACTTAAGAAGCGATTGAAATATTTGTTGGCTCGTGTATTTGCAAGTGGATCCAGGCGAAATGTATTAAAAGTAGGCTTAATACGTATAATACACGTAAATGCGTTGAAGGGATTTAAGATGACGCATGCTTACGTCATGCCTCGTTCAAATGCCTGAGCTAAACTACGTCGTTAAACGTGGCTACAGCACCGCTAATTTCTAAGCCCGCGATTTGACACGATCCTAAGTTAAATGTCGTCTACACAACAGACAATAGAAAAGATATTCACGCGAAATTGTGATCTATGAACGAGACGATGAACTACGCCGCGTGTCTCATGACGTAAGACGTCACAAGTGACGCTGGACATTCACTTTCTCAGAAATATTGGTCTGTTCATATCTAAGTAATATAATTAAGAATACACTTTGTTAAACTATCCATGGAGCTTATTCTTGTGGTCTCTTACGTGACCACAAGAACCAAACACTGGCCACTATACCTCAAGTCTTTGTGATTAATTTGTTTAACGGTTTCTTTCCCATTGAATGGTAAGATGATTATGAATTACGTAATTTATTTACCTGTGATTTATTTAATGACGTCAGTTGCTTGTAACGCGTAGCGTGGACTGATAGGACGGTTAATGAATTAGAAGGAATATGAAAGTAGGTCGTGGCCTGATTTTAAGATACTTTCCCAGCATTTTCTAGAATGACTGAGGAAAACTACAAGTCCTCCAGTTAAAATGACCGTTCCTCTAACCGAGGTTTGAAATAAGATATCACGAGTGCGAAACACTCGTTCACAACGATCGGGGAATTCAGTAAGCGTAGGGCGAAGACGAATTCCCCGTCATCTTCGTAGAGGGACTGAGTTTTAACCACACGAATCGACCGCTGGACAAATTTCTCTCCCAGATATGAACCAGAACTGCTTTTTTTTAGATTTATAATAGTCGTCCACGACGTTTAGAGGTGGTATATGGA